GACACGTACAGGGAGCCAGTGAAGGGAGGACAGAACTGGTGAGATATGATCAAACCTACACGTTCCTGTTAAGAACCGAGCTGCAGCGTTTTGGACGAGCTGGAGACGTGAAGGGAGACCTGACTGCCCCCAACATCAAGCACGTTAGAGTCGTCCAGCCGGGTTGTAACGAAGGCATGGACTATTTTATGAAGGTCAGATCTGGTCAGCACCGACTTCAGTTTAGATATCTGCCTTAACTGGAAGAAGCTTTTCTGCAGAACAGAGTTAATCTGTTTATTCAACTTAAAGTCAGAGTCTAAAACCATCCTGAGGTTTGTGACAGACACCTTAAGATATGAAGAGTCAAGGTTTACAGGAACAGACGGCAGTAGAGCTGGGGATAAACTCAACGACCTCAGTTTTCTGATCGTTGAAACTTAAAACATTTGAAGCCATCCATGCCTTGATGTCATCAAGACATTTTACCAGAGGGTGGATTGTGCATGAACTGTTAGGTTTTAAGGGAAGATACATTTGACAATCATCAGCATAACAATGAAATGAAAGACCATGTTTCATCAGGATAGACCCCAAACGGAGCAGATAGAGTGAAATCAGAAGGGGTCCAAGAATCGAGCCGTGCGGAACCCCACAGGAAAGAGGCACTGAAGCAGATACACAATTTCTAACCTTTCTTCCACAGGAAGATCATGGACTCGGGTGAACTGGACTTCTACCAGCACTCCAAGGTCTGCTCCAACACCTGCCGCAGCACCAAGATCGACCTGGTGGGAACCAAAGCGTCCGCCGCGGTCGACGCGTCCGCCGCCGACCTGCTCGCTGCCTCCACCTCGTCAGCTGACTGTACGATCTGCAGCCCTTCATCGGGTTCTGGGCTCGTTTGAAACAGTTTTTAAATTCTGTTATTAAACTTTTTCTTTCTTAGATGTGAATATTTGTATTTTCTGATGATTTCCTCCTCAGCAGGCGGTCCTGTTGGACCTCAGCAGGCGGTCCTGTTGGACCTCAGCAGGCGGTTCTGTTGGACTTCTGTCTCGTCTGTTCACATTTTAAACCTGTTTTCTGTCCGTTTCAGTGAACGGAGCGGCCGCTTCGTTTCCAGATGCGACAGAGGAACCGTCAGAGTGGGTCACCGCCATCGGAGGTAAGGAACCGTCATCTGACCCGGTTCTTGTTCAAACCAGAACCCGTCTCTCTGGCCCGGTTCTTGTTCAAACCCAGTTTTGTGTCGCGTCTCCAGAGGACTCTGTGACATTCTGGCGCTCCATAAAGGAGGCGGGGCTTCTGGAGGAGGTGGTGGAGGACTTCCAGAAGGAGCTGCAGGAGGTTCTGAAGGGGTTGCAGGAGAGAGTGTGCGACCCGCCACTGCAGGTCAAAGGTCAGAACCACTCCCTTATGGTCCGGCTTGTCGGTGTTCTGGACAACTGTAAAATGTTCTGCGGTTCTGGTTTCAGATGCGGTTCTGCTCAACAACATTGTGCAGAACTTCGGGATGCTGGACCTGGTGAAGAAGGTTCTGGCCAGTCACAAGAGCCAGATGGACCGGTACCGAGAGCAGTACTCTCGTAGCCTTGCCGGTCAGTACCAGAACCTCTAATCAGAGTTCCTCCATGAATTCAGGAGAGTTCAGCCAGAACATTATGACCACCTGCCTAGTTAACGGTTCATTAAACTGAATCATTCTTATTTCCACCTGTCTGGTTACATGATCACCCGCCGCTGAAAGTCTGAGGCAGAGGTCTCCACCTGTATCCATGTGTGTTTATACGTCTGTTAGCGAAATATCTCATGAAGCAGTGGACATATTTTATCTACACTCTCAAAGATTTTGTCTACAATGATCAGCTTTTGAAGTCAGGTTCAAGATGGCCGCCACATTAGCTCCAACTCAGACGGTTTGACAGATGTTGAGCTGTACGAGAGTCATCCCCAACACGTACTCCGAGGGACAGCTCAGTTTTACTGTTTATGTAGTTCTCATTTAGATTTCTGTAAATCGTTTAAACTCTTGCTACTGTTTGGCTAATTTTAGCTACTGTTCAGCTGATGTTAGAGTTCATCGTCTGTTTCTGAGGCATCACTGCAGGGAGCAGGCTGGCTGCAGCAGCTGTTTGCAGTTAATGAGGTGGTCATAATGTTTTGGCCGGTGTGTTTGATTGACAGCCTCTCCCCCCTCCTCCCCCACAGCTCTGGAGCAGCAGTGTGATGAACACCGGAAACGGGCCAAAGAGCTGAAGAGTAAATCTCAGCACCTGAACAACGTCCTGATGACCCTCACCCCGGTGACCCCACCCCCACCGCCCAAACGCCCCCGGCTGACCCGTGCCGTCTCCGGCCCGGCCGCGGTCGGCGCCGCGCCCACCCAGATCACGCTGCCCCTCAACCAGCTGGGCGGCCTGCCGTTAGGAAAGGTGCTGACGGTGGCGGGGGCGCAGGCGGGCGGGTACACCATCCTCACCTCGCCGCTGTCCGGCGCCGAGCTAGCAGCCGACGGCTCCAACGTGACTCTGCTGGAGGGCGTGGAGCCGGCGGGGGGGTCCGGCGGCTCCGGGGCCTTCGTTAAGGTGGTCGGACCTCAGTTCCAGCTGGTGACGCTGCCGCTGGCCACCACACAAAGCCCCGCCCTGCAGCAGCAGGTCAGCACCGTCACCGTGGTGGACGCCATGGCAACCGGAGCGGAGGAGTCCCAGGAGGCGGGGCAGACTGACGGAGATGATGGAGGTCAGCCAGGGCAGGGAGCAGAGGAGGAGGAGGAGGAGCAGTGAGAGGAAGGACAGCTGTGCCGGCTTCACTCTGGACTCAAACGTGAAGCTTGATTACCTCTGACCTCTGACCCCTCCCTGCTTCATGAAGGTCTCTCAGTTTTCAGAGGGAACTTTTAACGAGCTTCTGTTCTGCGAGTTCTTTGGACCGGACCTCCTGTTCTCTTCTGAGGAGCGGCGCTCGGTTTGAGAATAAATGCTCAGTGAAAAACAAGATCCAGTTTTATTATTTTTAAACAAACTACCTGAGCAGGTAAAAGGTTTCTGTTCATGTGTCTGTTAGCAAAATATCTCATGAGTCACCGGACACATTTTAATGAAACTTTCAGGAAATCATCAACAACTCTCCAACTTCAGAAGCCAGCTGGGATCAAGATGGCCGCCACAGCCCAGCTCGACCTCGATCTGCGGCTGCTTCGACCTTTATCCTAACTCAGGTTTTGGATTACCGCACAGCATTCTGGGATGTCAGCGCAGTCCCACCCGCCAGCCAGACCCGGAACAGACCATGAAAATGGCTCCGGGTGCTCTGATCCTGGAGCAGCAGCTGACGTTTAGCTGTTTTCTTGACAGCTAAATGCTCCTGTACCTTTGGTCCTGGAGCAGCAGCTGAAGTTTAGCTATTCTATGAGCAGCTAATGCTCCCGTACGTTTGCCCCTCTAAGATCAAGTCTCTGGGCTCATTTCGGCCGGCGTTGAGCTAAAGCTTAGCGTGGTCGTAGCTGAGAGTCCTCGCCGACGGTCGCTCGGAGTGTGGATCGAGTGGCTGCAGCTGCATCGTTTCCCCCTGGAAGATCCTCCAGGACTGGACAAAAAAGGGCGGCGGGTGATATGCATTCCTTCAAGGAAAGCCCGGCCTTCCAACAGCAGTGAAGAGGAACTGAGCTCCGAGCGGGTCGGGTCGGGACAAAGACACTGACTTTGTCCTGGTCTCTCCTCACAGAACCTTCTGTTCTATCTGGGTTCCTGTCTGTCAGCCTATCAGCTGGAACACTTCCTGTTTGTCTGACCCCAACACTTCCTGTTTGTCTGACCCGAACACTTCCTGTTTGTCTGACTTGAACACTTCCTGTTCATCTGACCCCAACACTTCCTGTTTGTCTGACCTGAACACTTCCTGTTTGTATGAATGGGGTCAGAACGTTGGCGTTGTTTCGGACTCAGACGTTTGGAGATGTTAGACGCCACCACGACGAGTCGATGAACTTCGTCATGACAGAAAATGTACAGAACAGCCCTTTAGTTTGGCTTCCCATTAAATGGTTATTTATTTATTATTGATTTATTCTTTGTTGTAAATAAAGTTTTAGTTTAAAAAAGGTTCACAGTGTAACGTTCTGCCGTGCTGTAAACTGCCCAGAGCTGCAGGAAACGTTTAATTTACCAAGAAACGTTCAGAGGAGGAGACGCAGCCCATCAGGAAGGTTCTGGGTCAGACGGTTCTGATCCGACCCTCGGTTTCCTTCCTGACGATCCTTACCCATCATAAAAGAATAAAAACAGAAAAGTTGGACTTTTATTCTGTAGTGGAAGACGTTTCACTTCCTGTGTTCATTTAAATTTGTCCTGATGAATCCAGTCCAGAACCGGACCGGACCGGACCGTGACGGAGGTTTCTTCCTGTAAAAGGGAGTTTTTCCTTCCCACTGTCTCCTTTGTGCTTGTTCAGGATGAGAGACCGAGACGACGTGAAGATCCAACACAATCTGCTGCTTCTCAGATCGAGAACTTTACTAACTGGTTCTGATGACGTATGTGACGGGTGTCCAAAGTCGGCCCGAGGGCCAGTTGTGGCCCCTGGAGTGATGCTGTGCGGCCCACAGCTGCAGTTTAAGAACCGTCTATATCACGGGTGTCCAAAGTCGGCCCGAGGGCCAGCTGTGGCCCCTGGAGTGATGCTGTGCGGCCCACAGCTGCAGTTTAAGAACCGTCTATATCATGGGTGTCCAAAGTGCGGCCCGAGGGCCAGTTGTGGCCCCTGGAGTGATGCTGTGCGGCCCACAGCTGCAGTTTAAGAACCGTCTCGTTTTGGGCAGCAGGGTCAAGAGGTCGCTGCAGACGTTCTGCAGATTAGTTGGTTCCTTTTTTATATAATGTAACAGCAAAACAGATTAAAAACAATCTTCTCAAAATAAGCAATATTAAAATAGAAACCTTTGGCTGTAATATTTTTATTTTCACTTCCTGGTACAAAACACCACAAACATTTACTGGTTTCTACCAGAAAGAGACTTTTGGATAATGATTCATGAACTTGTCTAAATGTTGCAGTTGATAAAATAATCACGAGGGAAACTGGACATTTTAAATGAATAGAACGTGGCATCATCTACATACGAGATGATCGACTTCATCAAACCTTCTACGAATCTGTTGTAGCGACCGACAGCTGGATGATTCTTCAGAACTTGGATCAGCCTTTTGGGTCGTCCAAGGTCCAAAAGGCTGATGGACCCGCTTTTAAAAAGGACATTTACTCAAATTACACTTTTGTTGCTGAGAACAAACTAAAATGAACTTTACAAACACAAGAAAACAACAAACATAAACCCAACAAATCAAATAAATCCTTTTAAATAAAAATATAAGCTTAGTGTTTAGATGGTTTGGATCTACAACAATTTAAACTATTTCTCCACCAAAATTAATAAACTTTTGTTCTTTCTCCAAAATATTCTTCATGTTGAGTTAAATTCACATTTTGTGGCCCACGAGTCTTTTGTCTGGTTTGAGTCCACGTATGAAAATGTTTAGACGCTCCTGGTGTGAATGTTTCTGTGGAGCCCTGAGACGACTTCTGTTGTGACTTGGAGATTTATAAACAAATAAACAAACAAATAAACAAAGTGACGTGAAGTGAGAGGAGGAGACTGATGGTTTCATTAAACTTCAGAGAAGCACCAATGTTTGTTCATCTGGTCAGAAAAAAAACGAGCATCTCTTCAGTTTGATCAGTTTTTAACAGAAAACTGTTCAACCTTTATTTATTTATTTATTTATTCATTTATTTATTCATATTTCAGGGATGTTCTTATCATTTAAAGGAAACTAGATTATTTTAATTTGCCCTTCTGATTTAGACTTTTTGATGAATAAAAAGATTTAGCTACATTCAAGTGTGTTTTTCTGTTTGAAATCAATGAGATAATTAAACATGATTAATATATTTTATTACCACAAACCGGCGCGTGTGTTTAGAACCATAAACAAAGAGAAAACTCACGAAGGACAAAAACTCACCGACTGCTTTAATATTACATTTTATTAGAATTATAGTGTATATTTTATTAATTTATTCCAAAGATTTATAACATCAGACATGAATTCTTGAACTCAAACCTAAAATAAATCCAGATTTTAAAAATGACTCCAGAAAGAAATTCACAGGAACATTTTATCTTTTTAATTATTTCTTTATTTTTTTTTTATCAGCTGGAAGTTTAAACATTTTATCAAGTGACAAATAGTTAATTTTCTGGGGATTAAACAAACCGAATTCAAACCGGTTCTGGTTGAGTCAAACCGGATCAGTCGCAGACCGAACACTCGCACTTTATGTTTACTGGAAATAAACATTTTATTTTATTTTAAAATGGAATTAGATTTCCTGCAGTTTGGGTTGGAAATTTTTATTTTCTAATTTTAAAGTTTTAGACAATTTTCAGCCAAAACTCTTAAATTATGAAACATTTAAAAATAAAACGAGGATGATTTTTATTTTAAACTGAAACTCATTATTTACAACAAATAAAATATAAGTTAAAGAATCTGCACGTGCAGTGCAGCCAAATTAAAGGGCTGTTCTGAACATTCGGTCCAAACGTCCACGTGCGTCCGGAACAAAGGCGACATTCTGACAAACAGGAAGTGGTTTTTATTCAACAAGCTGGAGGACACACACAGACACACGCGCAGGTTCTCCTCCTGCAGCAGTTCTTCAGTTCCTCCTCCTGGAGGAGTTCAGGAGCTCCTCTCTTAAAGCGGCTCCTCCTCGGAGCGCACGGAGAACTTGAACTGGCGCCGCAGGTACCCCCCGAACCTCTTGTCCCACTTCAGGTTGTTGAGTTTGGGCCGGACCCTCCGCATGAAGCCGCCGTAGCGCTTCTGGAGCTCCTCCCGGCTCTCCTCCTCCTCCTCCTCCTGCTCCCCGGAGCTACTCCTCTTTGATTTGGGGCCGAATTTGCGTAAAAAGCCGCCGTAGCGTTTAACGAACCCGCGCGCGTCCTCGTCGCCCCGCGGCGCGCCGCGCGCCTGCAGCCGCTTCAGCAGCTCCTGGTAGAGTTTGGGAGCCGCGGCGGGCTCCAGGACGGAGTTGGAGGAGGTGAAGAGCTGGTTCTTGTTCTTGTCGAGCCTCTTGATGAAGCCTCCGTAGCGCTTGACCAGCTCCGCCTGCTGCCGCTCCTCCTCCTCCTCCTCCTCCTCCGTGATGTCCGCCAGGCTCGGAACCGGAGCGCAGCCCTGCAGCTCCTCCTCACAGTCCGGACTGCAGGACTGAGGGGACACGGAGACAAGAGGGGGACACTTTGAGCTCACACATCAAACATGGCTCCTGCACCTGAAACTTTTACATTCAACAAGTTAAAACGATGATTTTAGGTTTTAAACTTCTGCTGTTGGTTTGATTTATTGTCTCAATTTAAGATAAAAGCAGCAGAACCGGAGTTTTTGTTTCCTGCGTCTTGCGGGCTGTGCGGGCTGTGCGTGAAGCTCACCAGGCGGCTGAAGGCGGCGGGGCGCAGCAGCTGCCGCGCGCATTTCTGGCACTCAGCCGAGCAGTCTGTGTGGATGGAGGGCGGCAGGCTCAGCATCAGCACCAGGACATACCACTCCATTCTGCACCGGGTCCCTGCGCGCGCACACACAAACATCAAACAGTTTGAACTCTTTCATGTGAAGTGCAGCCGCGCGTAAAGGCGCGCCGACGCGTTTGATCGTGAATAAAAGCCTGAACTGCGCGTTAGACCAAAGTTGAGGAGGTAAATAAGCACGAGGAGCTGAGTCGGTACCTTCAGGAGTTGGACAGGTTCTTCCAGCCGTGTTGAGACTCGCAGAGGCGCGTGGACCGGCTCGCGCTCCTCCGTCCGACACTTGCCGCTCGCGCGTCGCGGTTCTTTTTATGAGCCGCGCCTCGGCTGTCATCAGAGCGGCTGCTGGAACCGACCAATGGGACGGAACCGAGCCCAGCTTCAGGGAACACCCACACGGATCACCATCATCATCGTCACTCCATGGACCAGAGCTGTAAATCATCCGTTCATGTTCCAGTAACTCTGATCCCAGGTCAGATTAGATTAGATTCTAACAACAGACTCTTCATTTACTGAAAGTCAAACTATCAAACCAAACGTTTATCCTGAACCACAAGAAACGGTGCAGATTGAAAAAGTTTCAGATTTATTATTCTAATGCACGCGCTGAATATAAACCAAGGCCGAGTCACGTGACCTACATGATGAAGAAACGAGAAGGTCCGGCTCGGTTCGTCCGTCTGCTCATGTTCTTGTTTAACAGGACGACCTTCATGTTTCGTTCCAGCGCCATGAAGACATCAGTGAAACGCACCGGAGTCTTCTGGATCTTGTTTAGATGTTTATCTGCAGATTCAGCAGATCTGATAAATAAAACCATCAGATCTGTGGGTCCAGCCCCGAGGACACTGTCTTATCTCCAGTCAGGGGGGTGCAGCTTTCCATGGAGGGGGTCAAGGATCTCTGGGTTTTAGGGAAGAATGTGAGGTCGACAGACTGACCGGAGCAGCTGCTGCAGTATTGTGTACGGTGAGCCGAGCCAGTGTGGTGAAGAGGGAGCTGAGCTGCAAGGAGAAATTCTGACGATTTATGACCCAAAACGATTAAAAACTGTTTACAGGTAAACACCTGAGTTTGACGTTCAGCTCCGGGACAAACTGGGACAGCAGAGGTTCAGAGTGGACAGTGGACACGGTTACTGGACCGCTTCAGTCCGCGGGGACACCACGGTCCAGGTGAGCTCCAGGTGTGCAGATAAACACCTCGAGTACAAACAATAAAACAAATAAATAAATGAGGTCAGGACTCCAGTTCATCACAGGAACCATCGACCAAGCAGGTCTAACCACTGCTCCACCGTGCCGCCCTCCTGACAGACAGTCACGGTGTTGGTCATGTGAACTCGGACAGTTTTGATGAGACCTGCGTCAGAGTCCTTGATGGACGAAGCAGCAGGAACGCACCACGCTCAGACCGTCATCAGAAGTTCAGACGGGTCTTCAGGGACAGCGAGGACAAGCGGAGCAACCGTTTGAAACATCACGTTCACGAAGAACGTCGTCTGCAGTCAGATGAACGGTTCAGAGAAAACTCCTCCACATGAAGGAGGAGGTGAAAACATCTGACCAGATGTTTTAAAGCAGGAGTTTACTACAGACTCAATCCTTTGGAAATTGTATTTCCTCTGAGAAGCAGGCATCATGAACACCAAGGAATTCTCCATCCAGGCCAGAGAAAAAGCTGTAGAGAAGAAAAGATCAGGGTCGAGTTGTAAAATAAAATATTGAGCACGAAGCAGGAAGACGGCGTCCACGTCCGATTCTCACTGTGCTGAGAATCCCATCCCTCAGAGAAGCACGGCGGTGGCAGCTTCATGCTGCGGGGACGGTTCTCATCAGGTCAGAGCTGAAGGAAAGATGGACGGAGCAGAACAACAACAAACATCCTGTGTTGTAAAATCTCTGCAGACGGTGCACACGGTGGAGAGGCGTGTTCTGTTTACGACGCAGAAGCTGTTCAA